CGTATAATGTATGCTTAATACGTAAGTTATTACGATATATATATATATATATATATACATATTTATTTTTTTTCTTGAACAAAAATATAAATTATGTAAATATATGATGTAAATGTTATATTATTACGATGCAACATGTTTCTGAAATATTTTAATCCGTTTTGTGACAGTGGTGTAAGTTTGATGACGACGTTGTCTCACGATGTACAAAGCAGGAAGCTATTGAACATAACTACGGTGGTCAAGACGAGGATATGTCTATGGCTGTGAAACACTGCACTAACGCTTATATGCTGGTTTACATAAGAAATTCAGAGCTGGAAAACGTTTTGCAAGAGGTCAAGGAAGAGGATATACCTCAAGAGGTCAGAAACGTCCTTCAAAGAGAGCTTTCCCAGGAGTTGAGCGACCTTGAACGTGACAAAGACGCAACTGACTCAATTAAAGACTCTCATACAGAGACGGCGACTCTTCGTCCGTGCACTCAAAATCCTCGAAATCCAAATCTCTATATTCATGATTTTTAACCGATAAAAACGCTGATGAGGAAATAGGCGGAAGGAATTGTAAATTGCTTACAATGCTTCTCGATCAAATTCTTCCTGAAGTTTCGATGTTATATACTGAGCTATTATGAGCTTGCTCATAACATAGAATTGTCAGACTCGCACATCACCCATTGTAATTATATATACATACGAAAGAGAAAAAAGATCGAGGCGATTTTCTGTCCTCGTTGCAATATTTTGGCTACCACACATTAATAGTTTAATTTTTGAGATTGTATATGTGTGTACAAATTAGGAAAGTTTATTTAATGAAGATAATATCTATTATTATACGTTTTTCGAACAGTTGTTATTAACTTTATCTTGAATTTTCATAACAGAGATTTACATTAATAATCAGCTTTGAGCTGCTATACCAGTAAATGTTAACAATATACAAATCATGCCTGTTTCTAGATACAATGTTGCATTCGGAATAGCGTAATGGAAGATTAATCGCGCATTGTCAGAATTCATATTTGGTATGTTAAATTCGAATACGCTTCGAAATGATGATGAATCAGTTAACATCGGGAAAGATTGAAAAGATACAAAGCAGTTTGTAATCATGTATGGAATTATATAATTCATGTTATATAGAGATTTGTTTTATATATCGACAGGAACACACATACGTCTTTTGGACAGAGGATTTTTTTCAGTATAGGCACTCGAGGCATATATGAGAATCATGTGATTATTTTTTTTATTTATTCTTATCTTAACTCATAATTTTATATCGATAACGCAAGGAATTAAAAAGAAAGACCCATAATTAATGTGCGTGTTGCATTTTTGTCACTTTTATTGGAAATATTTATCCAGATAAATTTATCGGATAAATTTCAGTCTGATCGTCAGACTAATATCGTGATGAGCCTTAGGATTATTTTGGGAATGTTTATTGTAACAAACATTGTATAAATACTATATAACAAATTTCATCATTGTATTGTAGAATATTGAAAAATTGAATGAAAAAATGAACAAACATATCTCAAAAAAGATTGGATATGTATGAATAATTGTATAAGAGAATTAGGAGAAAAAACAGAAACACACAGTTATTAGTGAGAATATACTAAGTATCGATTTGAGCTAAAATAAATCTTAGCTCTTGCAATACATACGAGAAAGAGAAGAAATAATTGATAAGTAGTACTTGTGTCAGAAACATCAGCTTCCTTGAAATGTCTTCTTTAGCGTGTTTGCTATTTAACCGGATTGTTTAGTGAGTGAGACATAATGTGATTTATATTATTCACCCTCGCAGTTTTCATAAACTAATATTTAAAGTCGATAATAATGAGCAGAGTAAGAACTTCGTGTTTCAACAGAGAATACAATCACTTAAGCAGATCGTTGATTCATTAAATTCTCTCCATGTTAATAGTGATTATGATCATTGACAGATACTATCTATTTATTTGTTGTTATATATGAATAACTAGAGAAAGAGAGAAAGAGCGAGAGAGAGAGAGAGAGAGAGAAAGGGAGAGATGAAAGAACGACTAAAACGTCATCGATAGTAAATACTTTATAATAGCTTTAATCGTGAGATACCTTTAAATGCTATATCACTATTTTATATATAAAAATAAAGAAAAAAAGAATAACGAATAAATTGTTGAATACTAGAAAATTTCACAGGCGAATACCGCGTTAATTTTATTTATTTTTACCGTTATTATATACGTTTCAAGAGATAGAGATATTCACGTTACAAAGCATCTCCACACTACTATAGTTACACATTACATTGTTATAATTATTTGGCATGGGTGGTGGTTATAATGTTTCGATATGTATTTCATTATATGCATGTACAAAGCTAATTGATTAAGGTGTTTTGTCGTTTTGCTAAAATTTCCATGTGTTCAAAGGATTACATATCTGAGATATTCTTGAGACGGTAACGCGAAATATAAAGTAAGCTTATTATAAGATTTACATATCGTATTTGTACACCACACATATTTGTCATCAAATTAATTATCTTTAATTACTAATATTATATATTTATTGTGTGATTGTATTTATTAGCCAGCCAGAGATAACTGGGAACCATCACTCACCGCCAAATAATTTTTATTGTGTAATTGTTTGACTTGGTAGTCGATATAGCGGCAGATGAACAAAATTAAAATTACAAAAATGAAAAATGTATCATCATTCTTTTGATGTTTCGAATACAATCTGTTCTCGAATCTCAAAAGCATGATAGAAAAATAATCTTTTTCTAAAAAGAAAAAGATTAAATCACATAAATTGAAAAAGATAGTCGAGGAAAAATGATTAACGAAAACGAAATGAAAGTACACACGTGGATAATTTTAATTTTGTTGGTCTAGCTGGTGGAGAGGCTGCAAGAGGAGAAGAGGCTGGAACAAATAAGAAGAAAGGAGAGAACGGAAGCATACTTGTACATGACCGTCAATGTCCTTCTCGAGGATAGCTTTGACGGTCACCAAGGAAATGATCTCTACGACCCAGAGCACGCTTTATATCGTGTATTTCGCGTACGTAAGCAGGCCACTGTGCACGAGTTTCTCGAACTACTGAGCGATAGTCTGGTAAGTGAATTTAATAAAGACAAACTGAGCGTTCGGTACTTCTTCCGAAACGCCGTTACATTGCTTAAAGGCTGGGTTTTGTGCTTATACATGCGCATCAGGATTTATTTACTAAGTAAATCAATACTAATGTAATATGTAGTATGTACATTATTTTACGTGTTATTGTGGGCCGTACAGTGATTCAGTAGACTATTTTCATCACGGTAGGTAATACAATTTGAAAAGATTATAACGTAGGACTTTCTTGTTTTAATATACGAGAATGGGAAATAATAGAGAAAATATTTTATTTTTTTTGCAAAATAAAATAATAAAACGATATTGAAGAATTAATTATGAAAACAGTCTTTTTTTTTCAATATTTTCAAATTTAAAAATGATACAGGATACGCAGGTTATTTAATATTATCAAATTTATTCTACAGAAATATCCTATAGAACAGATTCGCATTTGGCCCTTCAGTACACGTTCAAATCAAACCTGTAGACCTACGTTAATCGAGCCGGACGCTGATCTTCAAAAACCCATCATTGACTGCGCGGAGAATCACAACCCGTGGAACGTATTTGTTGAACTTGTACCTCCAGACTCTGACATGACAGCGTTACCGCATTTCGACAAAGACACCGATGTTTTACTCTTTTTTAAACTCTACGATCCCAAAAATAAAAAATTCATTACTGCGGCCATCATTACATGCCTGTTGTAGCTAAAGTCCGTAAGTTAACATTATATTCTGATATATTAGAAAAAATATTGTATGTGTGTATGAACATTATTCGAACAATTGTATATGAATATGTTTTTATATACGAATAAATATGATAACATTTTACAGAGGAGCTTATACCAATTCTAAACGAACGCGCCGGATTTCCACCAGACACAGAGCTTGCTTTATACGAAGAAATTAAACCAAATCTAGTTGAGAAAATAGACAACTTGTCAGAGCCTTTGGAAAAAGTTCTAGAAGAATTAATGGACGGTGATATCATTGTATTTCAAAAGGAAGGAGACAATGAAATGTATGAACTTCCAACATGTCGAGAATATTTCAAGTAAGTAACAATACGAAGGATTTTAATATTTTTATTTCTTATCGTCAATATATTTTAAAATCGTATCTTTATAATATATATAAATACACTTGCTAATCTAATCAAATTTATATTTCAGAGATCTATTCTATAGGGTAGAAGTAACATTTTGTGATAAATTAATTCCAAACGATCCAGGTTTTACAATGGAACTTTCATTAAGAATGACATATGATCAAATGGCAAAGGCTGTAGCACAACGAGTCGGCACAGATCCATATCTTCTACAATTCTTTAAATGTCAAAAGTGAGAACTTATATTTTCACTTGCTTCTTAGTCGAAAATAATTGAATTGTCTAACAAGATTAAGCTATTTTTAGAATAAAATACTTTATATTAAAATTTCTTTTTCAGTTACAAAGACTCTCCAGGTCATCCTTTAAAATGTACATTTGACGGCACGCTCAAAGAACTGGTTGCGTATTGCAAAACGAAAGTAAAGAAATTATTTTATCAACAGCTCAGTATTAGGGTGAACGAGCTGGAAAACAAAAAACAGTTCAAGTGCATATGGGTAGGACCTTCACTTAAAGAAGAGAAGGAAATGATTCTTTATCCGAATAAAAATGGCACTGTTGCTAATTTGCTTGAGGAGGCTAAAAAACAAGTTGAATTATCGGAAAATGGATCAGGAAAACTAAGGATATTAGAAATGACTTGCAACAAGCTATCACCTGGACCTGTAGACGATACACCTTTAGATCACTTAAACACCTCAGGCACCAAGTTATATAGGATAGAAGAAATACCGGTTGATGAAGTGAATTTAGCAGAAGGCGAAATGCTAGTTCCTGTTGCGCATTTTCACAAAGAAGTTTTCTCAACGTTTGGTATACCTTTCTTCTTCAAGATCAAGCATGTGAGTGATTCAATTTTAGATTGAATTTTAGATGATTCAAATTTAAATCGATGCGTATGCGATATGTTGCATTAATAAGCGTTGTGTTTACAGGGCGAACCTTTCCCCAAAATGAAGGACAGGCTGTTAAAGAAATTAGGAGTTCAGGAGAAAGAATTCGAAAAGGTAGGCATCCCTAGTTAATCTTTTTTTGATCTTTTATGAGAATTCATAAAAAAACTTTGAAGTTTAAGTTCGCGGTGGTGACGATGGGCAAGCCACAATTCATTATCGACTCGCCGGACTCTTGTATCAAAATCGAGGATTTTCTTCCCAGATACACCAGTCAGAGTAAGTTTTAAACAAGGCGTTTACTTTTTCTTTTGAATATATAACAATCAAACGAATGTCGAATCGCATAGTCACTATATTTGATATATAGTGTATTGCTGATACGATGCTGAAAAAGAATAAATTTTATCCTTTTAAGTTAAGTTTATCCACTTTTAAACGCAGGTACATCACCACACAGGCCTTGGCTTGGCCTGGAACACGTCAACAAAGCGCCAAAGCGCTCTCGTATCAACTACCTCGAAAAGGCCATTAAGATTTACAATTAAATTTCCACCACATGAAGAAATTAAATTAGACAGCCACTCATAATAATTTATACAACTCTGTATAGTAAAAGAGGGACGTCTGATATATTGAAGATTGGAAAAATGCGTTCATGTATTTGTTTCTTCAGCCAGATTAAATATGCGATTTTAATACTGCGAGAACGACATCGGAAGGTAACTCCAAGCTTAGTATACGATGGATTAAGAGACTATCGTGAAATGTGCAGTGCTATTTTATGCATCATGGAAGAGCGATGATATAGTTCCTCGATTCGAATGTAAAGATTTTATGTAATGGCGATAGCTTATTTTGGCGTCACTCAGTACGAATTTTCGCCTAGACTCCGAAAACATTTGATTACGAAATGCACGTATATTGTACCTAATAATTGTCTGATAATTATCTCTAATAAACTATTTCTTTCTTTTTTTTTAATTTTATTAGGAAATTGAGACTTTCATATTAAAATTTCAGTTCTCATCCCATCGCATAAAAGTTGTATATAATTGTCCCCAAGAGGTACCATATTATGTTCTGCATGATGTAATATTTCACATTCGTAGCATCAAGAAAGGGTCTTTTCTTTTATGTTGCAAGTGTCCGCATTCAAGATGTTTGAAACGTAAATTTGCCATAAATATTATATTAAAAAAAATGTCGTAAAATTTTTTAATTTACATTAATGATTTTATTTGAATTGTAATATTTAATAATTCGATTTAATTAAAAATACATCAAAGTTAACTCAGATTTTTTTATATTAAACAAAATTTATATTTTTATTTTATGTCATAATAGGAATATAGGAAAAACATGCAAATAAAAAATTTCTAAGTTGCTTTTCAAACATCATGGAATATTTTTCTTGCGCTTAAGTGTGTTTGTTTTCTATTATATATTTTATATCGAAACTGAATTTTTGCAAATGTAAAAATAAGATAAAGAGATCGCCGAAAAAAGTGACGCTTAATTTACACATAAAAATTCTCGGCGAGATACAAACGCTTATCGATGCAATAGGGTACTCGCGGTTCTTTTTCTTTTCTTTTTTTTTAGACCAGTGTGAGCGAAACGACCGGTTCCCTTTTCGGGAGCAAAGTAGGAAATAACAATTAGAAAATCATAGTATTCTCTCTACTTCAAATTAATGATTTATATATTTCTCTATTTTATATTTAATTTATAACATGGCATGTAGATCTCGCGTGGTGAGTCACTCTCAGCAAAGTAACTTGTGTCTTGTGCAAGATCTGTCGTTTACAGATCCGTATTTATCATTTTCTACACGTTACTGTGATCAATCCAACTTAGCCAACATGTATTTAAATCACGCTGGCTCTTGAATCTTTGAACTAGCGTTATTGTAAAGGAAGATGTCGAGCTTTCTACATGGATTATTTAATAAATTTCTTTTTATGTTTGAAAAATTGTTTACTACGTGAGCTTAAATTTTTAACATCTGTCAAATAGCTTCATAAGCTTAGACATAGTGATTAATTTTGACTGATTAATTTTGAATCTTTAAAATTATCGAATTACAGACTACGTGAGAATAATTCTGAGAGCAAAGTTTACAGAATGATATATCAGCTGATATGAATTACCTGTAAAAGTTTTAACAGAGTTGTGTAACTATTTTCGAAAGTGAAAACCATTTGTGCTAATTTGTGCTATCTCTGCTTGATTGATAATAATATCACAATGGTTTTTGAAGAAGACTGGACGCATGAGTTAAGCGAGAGTGTGGCGCACATGCGAAGTGATTTGTAAAAAACAAAACAGAATTTTTTAATGTGGCTGTACAGACTGTTGTGGTGGTATATAATCGTAATTTCAATATTGTGTATATCTAAAAAAAGCTATTCCAAATTACGTTTTCTGTGGATGGCGAGCGTTTTTTGCTACTTCTATATTTACGTTTACTTAAATCTGTTCAGAATAATTTATCGGCATGCTTGTTAGATGTGTTGTCAAGATAGGATGCAAGAGAAGAGAGAAAGGGAGCGCGTGTATGTATACGTGGACATATGTATGTATGTGTGTGCGTGTGTGTCACTTATAATAAATTTCAAATCAAGTTGTAAAGAGCATAAGAGCATCACCATAGATCTGATTACTGAAGAAATATTTCCCACGTACACGATCGAGATAATATCTTTGTATGCCTAAAGGTTGGTGTTTGCAGTATCGTTACATTATAATTCGCGTATGTTTCTGATTGCATTTTTTTCTTTAGCGCTATCCTTTTTAGGTGAACACGGGAAAGAGATTGATCGCTTTACAAAGGGGTTCGTAACCGAACCATAAGTGGAAAATACGCTAATGATAGATCTCTCATGATAGACGCGGCAATAATGATATTTTACATAGACCGCGAAGAGAGCGAGAGAGAGAGAGAGAGAGAGAGAGAGAAAGAAGAAAAAGAACGAGCCAAAGTTGCTCCGAAACGTTAACGTAGCGAAGAAGATCACGATGGAAATACGAATCACACATATTTTGTTGTTTATATATACATATATATATACATATATAAATATACATATACATATATGTATATTTCGTTGTTAGGTTCCTCGGAGATAATTGCTAACGGCAATCCTGAAGTCGAAACTGATACACGAGACGGCACAGTTAACGACGAAAAGTGTACTTTTTTGCAAGGGAGAGAAAAAAAGAAATCGTGTAAAACCTATCCGAAGTCGTGGTCGCGTTTTAAGCTTATTAATTATACTATTGACAACATCAGCAATTGTAATGAGCGACACGCGAGGGAGAAAGCAAGCTGAGACATACGATCCGGCATATGATCGCTTGTAATAGGTTGTACACCAGATACTTTGCGTCTCTGTAGAGCTGACCCTATAAAGAAAACTGCTCAACACTGCGATTGTAAATCTGAATATTTGATAGTTCATTTCTAGGGAAGCGAAATAATTAAATGCGATGCAGGTAATGCGTAAAAAGCAAATGATAATAAAAAGCAATACAACTGGAAGCATTGTTATTTCTTCAACATTACATTGAGAAAAGCCAGCACCAGATTATGTGCGATTCATGACGTATGTCCTTTGATTTTATCAAAAAACCGTTTCACTGGCGAATTATATACGAGCACAGCAATTGATAAATGATGATAAATTTGCACATTTATACTATATTCGTAAATGTTATAAATAGTAAATTCTCAAAAATAGTACAAATTGCGTATAGTCTTGCGTTAGCTAAAGAAAGACATTTAAGTTTACACTGTGTTAACAAGTAGAATCGAGAATGAAAAAATTTGGCAGTGTCTGCTGTGCGAGCGTAGCGTAAATATTTATTTAGCAAATTTTTGAATAATCCTTGCATTAACAATGAGCCAGTAAAAATTGGTATTTGCTTTGAAAAAGCACTGTAATTCAAACGTATTATTAACTCGACTTTCTCCAACATTACGTCGAATTTTCTTATGATTGACTAACTTTCTCAAATATCATGTTGCTGCTAGTTCATGATAGAAATAATAGATTAAGAAATTGAGCGATAAATTATACATGTAACACGTGCACGCATCGTGCGTCAATGATAAGAGAAAAGTCGATGTTACTCATTCGTTTTTTAATTCTCATATAATATTTATGAAGATTTATTTGCAGCGTATCTTTAAATTCTATAGTTGATGTGCAAAATATTTTTAACATTTAAACGTGATATTTGGAAAAGCGGTTTTTTTCAGATATAGATTAGAATATCCATAAGAGAGCATGCCTCTAAGTTATAACTGTTGATCGTACGCCGGAAAAGGTCATAAAGGCATATTCAAACTAATGTCAATAATCAATAATCAATAGACGGCTTCGTATATTATGTATATTTTATACTCAATATTTCATTCAGAGAGATTTACGTAACGCAAATCTATGATTATGAATAAGACAGATTTGTTATAAAATCATTCTGATACATTCGGAAAAAATCAATTGAGATTAAGTAAATCTAAATAATTATAGATCATATGCCATAAATATAGTTAATCACAAAGGATAAAATAAATTATTCAAAGTTCTAAATTAATAATATATATAGTAAAATATACGTGCACGTTTTAGTTCTCTTTTGAATTATTTTTAGCTTATACGATTTGAAGGAGAGTCAAAATATCTGAATTTATGTATATTGTTATATATAGAACTTTATATAATTTAATTTCCGCATCTGTCACGCTTATCTTTGCCGTATAAAAATGGCGACTTTCGAATACAAAAAACAAAGTATTATTGATTGATATTTTTAATTTGCAAAACGATCTCACTAGTCATATAGTTAATCTAATATCTATGAACGTTTCGCATAGAGTTCTTCGCGAAACATTACGCGAAATTTTCCTCGGTTTAGGTCACCCTTGTCGAACGCAATCTGAAATCACGTTACTTTCACTTTCAACGGGAGACTAACTTAGAATATCGTACTGCTCCATCTTCTCGTCAGGCTATCTCGGTTATCAAAGTGCGCTGCAGTCCGTATGCATCGTCGACCCGCACCGGCGGTCATTCCGAAATCGGGGAAGATTCGACGGTTTTCTTCGAGCACTCGTTTCATCGTGTCTTGATCAACACCTTGTGATTACGTCGCGAGGAAACGCCTGTCCTGCGCAACCGAGGAAAAAGATCGGAGCGACCGGTAATGACGCCGCCTTATCAGAGTGTTGCGTGTTATCAGAGCGACGTCACTTCTTCCGACACTCGCGGATGTTTTTTTTTCTAGACAGAGTTGTTTCGGATACCACAATTGCGTATCCCGTACGATGACATCTTTTGTCATATTTTTTTTTTATTTTCAATGTGTATTTTCTTTTTTGTCATTCTTCTACGGATAGATTTTTCATGTTGTCTTCTCTCGATCTTTCTTTTAATTTCAATCATGCTATTTTTTTTGTTACCCTCCTCCTCTTTAAATAGATTCCTTTTCATCTATTATTTCTTTCTTACGTTTTTTTTTTTTTTTTTTTCTATTTTAATCTGTGTATCCTGTTTTCTTTCTGTCAGTCTTCTTTTCCTTTTAAATATTTTTTCACTTTTTTTTATCTTCGTTGAGATGTTACTTATTTTGCAGTTTTTTTATTATTGCTCAAAAACGAATCTGAACTTTTACGAGACACATGTCGTTTACATTCGATTAAATTCTAGGTTTTTCCTTTGTATATTGCGATTATATATATCATTATATGTCCATTACATAATTTCAAAGATATGCACTTATGCACAAACAGGCTTATAAATATCGCGCGATAGAAATATTCAGAAAAGAAAAAGGCTTATATAAGAGAAGGAGGGACGCATTTGCATTTCGTTCGCGAAATACACAATTCAAAAATTCAAATTAAGAGAAAAACACAAAAAATTCATGAATTTGCGTCTCATTAGATTAAATAATATCTTTAAGTTAGTTGGACATTTAAAGCGTTTTCAAGTCAAGCGATAAGGGCGAGTAAAATCCGGGTAAGTGATAAAATCATCAAAGAGAGGTAGGAGACAGAGGAAAGCATTCTTGATAAAAAACCATATCGACCGGACCGGTCGGTCCAGGCTTCAGATGTGTGTACGTAAAGCAAGAAAAAGTCGAAGATTGTGCGCTCACTTTCCAATCATGCGATTCGCCCTCACGGGGCACGTTCTTCGATGCATTCGTCTCGCGTTACCATTCGCAAATTGTCTCATCGCATACGAGTTTTTCTTTCTCTTTACTTTAATGCGGTGATTTCACGCAAGTTTTTTGCGAAGATCCTTTGTGTTCGAACGAAGTTTTGTTCGCAAAGTGCACTTGAGTGAACTTGAAAATTGTGTTTTGTCTTATTACGGGGTAAAGTGGCGTAGTTCGTCTGTTTCAAAAAGATTCATATTCTGTGGGATAATGATAACAAGATAGAATCACAAGTCGGAATCGAAATACAAACAAGAGTGAAAAGAAAGTAGGTCATTTTGTTGTTTGATCCAAAGAAAATTAGAATTCGGAGACGGATAAATACGGGAATAAGGAATGAAATATAAAGAATTAAAAACTGAAAAATTATTTTCAGAAGTAGATATCTTGATATCTTGATATCTATATTTTGATATTTTTTGCGAACGGAAGCATGATTTCTAATATGTCAAAAATAATTATTTGTTTCTAGCTTTCTATATTTTTAATTTTAATCCTTTGTTGTTATTATCGTTGATTGTTGAAAATAGTAATTCATTATCGTTATTGATTCAAGAATGAGTTAGAACTTCTGTAACTTTCCTATCAGTTTTAAAATTCTTTTTTTAGGTTTGTGCTTTTTCATATATATGAAACATATAATAATAATAATTGTGATATGCAAAATAACAATAAAAATAATGATTATATTTTTTTATCGTTATTCAAAAAATATAACTCCTCAATTCGCTATTTAAAAAAAGGAGTTGTAACACGTTATTTGGCTATCCTGGTTTGATTTAAAATAAGTAAATACTAAATAAATAAAAATAGTATGAATTAAGAAAAAAATCTTCCTTGAAACTTAAAAATGCTTCTATCGTCATTCGAAAATGTGTAAAAAATCTTTGAACGTGAGGAAATCCGAGAAATTCTGGAAAAGATTTTGTTTCAATTCGCCGATCGTTTCCGGTATGTTATAATCGGCACGCTCGTGACGTCACGGAACACGTGGCGAGTGCAGCCGTTTCACGTTTGCGCCTGCGTCTTGCTCTTGCAGTCGCGAGACGTCAACGGAATTTCGCGGCTTGAATCGATAAATGATTCGTGCAAACTGTGTCTTGATTCACGAGCAGAGATTTGGATTCGTAGGCCGCGTCGGAAATTATCCCTCGTACGTGAGAGACACGTGTAGGAACGTGCAATCTCACGTGCCCATCTTCAAACAATTCCGACTTTCGATCGCTGCCGGCGGCTGTATGCACGAGCCGCGTGCGTGTGTCAAGATGGTCGGCAATTGGTCGAGTTTGAATCGGCGCGGTTTTCAATTGGTCGAGAACCTGCTACGCGCCCGGAGCCGAAGTATAAAGGACTTTGCCACAGACTTTGCCACAGATCAAGGACGCGCTACAGACGCCTTTCATCGTCGTAGTTATCATTCGAGCACGTGTTGCACATCGGAACGAGTAAGTAGTTTCATATTTCCAATCGAGTTCCAATGTGAGATAATTGAATTCTTGAATTAAGATTCTGTGCACAATGGAGAAATAGGAATAGGACTTAGGAGCAGGAATAAATATCAAATTTTGGAAATAAAATTAGAAAATGCAAAATGGATATAAATAAATATAAGATATATTTTGTACTTACTTTGGTATTTATCGGCCTATGTGTTTAATCGTTCGTCTCTTTTATCAACTTTTTGATTTTCGTAGGCTCTAAAGCTAATGATAGGTAGAAAACCGTGAACAATAAACAGAATCGGCCAATCAGGTTGGGAAAATGAGATTATCACTTGCAAATATGATTAGTTAATTTATTTACTTCACTTTTCAGAGGCTACAAAAGTTCAAAAGTCAATCGTGTTTTAATGATTTTTAAAATCTACAAAAATATTCGGATAAATGTGAAGGCTCAATAATAGAAGAAAAATTGCTCTTTTTAGCCTCGAACTTTTGTTTGCTTTCCGAGAAGTTGTTTGGTTTAAGAAAAATATAATGGTCGCGTTCAGCAATAGTTTATCATGTTTCGCGACTGCTAAGTTTCCTTTGCTGAGATAGGCTATTCTTTTAGGTCTAAATCTATAACTCAATTGCAGGCAGGAATTCATAAATGATTGTGGTCCGTCGAATGCGTTTAGCTTCTTGATTACGCTTGATTAGCACTTTGTCAGTGCCGTAGCTAAGCCGATGCAAAATGTGGGGGAGGGGCCACGGAAAAGAGGAATAATTATGTGCTACTGAATAATATGGAATTTATAAAAACGTAACGCAGAAAAATTAATTTAAAATTCCTTTCTTGAATGAATTCTCTAAATTAATATAAAATTTATTAATACTCTAAAATAAGAAAATAGGCAGTTCTAAAATATTTGGACTTTTTTCAATTTACACTGATTTCCAATTTACACTGATTTCTTCATGATCGAAATTTTGAAACTGACCTTTTGTATGTTTTTGAAATGTGTTCTACTTATCTCTCAACGTTTGTAACCATTGTTTTGATATTTGACACACAAGATAAAATATAACAACAAAGATAAAATATCAAAAGATAATTTTAAAATCGTTTCGTTAAATGAAACGAATTCTAAATCAAAACAGTTTAATTTTTAATAAGAATATTAGCCAGATAAATTTTCATTAAATTATATAAAAGCATTTGAGTTGAAATATGTTTTTTTTTGTTCTCGTGTTCTTATAAGTTTTTTTCAAATTATTCAAATTATATACAATAATATTTTTAGTTATAAATAATTAGTTATTTTTGTCCGTATTTTTCTGTCATTTTATGTATTTCATAAGACTTATTTCTCGAGTTTACTATTTTTGTATAAGATTTATATAAATAGTATGATATACTACTATCATCATATAAGTTATCAAAGTTATCTAACAATATTTTTAATTATTCATAATTTTCTTTATTCGATACATTATAAAAAAGTGTTTATCTGTTATCTCTTATCTGCAACATTGACGAATGATCGATCATTGTTATTTCTCACAAATATGTTTGTCGCTGTAATTACATCAGGCGTGAGGTTATCATTGAGCGTATGAACTTTGATGAGGTATGAGCCAACTAAAAAATATGATTTACGCACGTTCCAGTTGGGGTATTACATGTCAGACTGCAGTCGAAGTAGCACGAAACTCTTGTACAGTTCAATTGATTCTTGCAGATCTATCGCAAGGTACTGTCGTGAAAAATCGAGAAAAAAGTATCACAATTGCGAAAAGTCTACAACACTGAAAGTGTTAAGCAGTCATTTTTGAGACGTTCCTCTAATATTTTTTTTTCTAGTATTAAAGATAGAATTTTAAAATTTTCTATTTATTACAGTTGTAATTTTATAACTATGATAATATTAATAAATATTAATTAGATTAATTAATTATATAATGTAAGTGATTGAAATTGGCATTATCGAAGATATAAACTATAAATCATTACTATTATCGACAGAGCATGGCAGCGATACTCCATAAGAATATTTGGGAAAGCGACCCAGAGCTTTTCGATTTGATGAAGAAGGAAAAAAATCGGCAGCAATCTGGACTGGAACTGATCGCGAGTGAAAACTTTACATCTCTCAGTGTACTTCAGTGCTTAAGTTCGTGTTTACACAACAAGTACAGCGAGGGATTGCCTGGGCAAAGGTGAGATCGCGATTACTTTTTTTTACCACGTCTCTTTACTCAATTAAAGACACAAGGATGACTCACATTTGTCGTGTTATATTCATAGGTATTACGGTGGAAATGAATATATCGATGAAATCGAATTGTTGGCGCAGAAACGTGCCCTGGAAGCCTTCAATCTGGATCCCAAGAAATGGGGGTGCAATGTACAGCCCTATTCGGGAAGTCCGGCGAATTTTGCAGTTTACACAGGCTTGATGGAGCCTCATGGACGTATAATGGGTCTAGATTTGCCCGACGGTGGTCATCTCACTCATGGTAAATATGAATGAGTTGATGAAATCAGTGCACAATAATGTGATAAATTGCATTTGTGCGCTATAGGTTTCTTCACAGTGAACAAGAAGATTTCCGCTACATCAATCTTCTTCGAATCGATGCCGTACAAAGTTAATTTCGAAACTGGATTAATCGATTACGACGAGCTCGCAAAACAGGCGAGATTATTCAAGCCAAAAGTCATTATCGCTGGAGTCTCCTGTTACAGTAGATGTCTGGACTATAAACGTTTCCGTGAAATTGCCGACGAAAATAATGCCTATCTCTTCAGCGATATGGCTCACATCTCTGGGCTCGTCGCCGCCGGAATAATACCTAGTCCTTTCGAATTTAGCGATGTTGTTTCAACAACTACGCACAAGACTTTACGGTATACTTGTCATTTAATAGCTTTTTACTTCTCTCATGACAATAATTAAAATAATAATGAAATATCATTTCTGTCCTCAGAGGTCCGCGTGCTGGTGTTATTTTCTATCGAAAAGGGATTCGAAGCGTCACGAAGGATGGCACAAATATTATGTACGATATTGAAAACAAAATAAATCAAGCAGTTTTTCCGGGTCTTCAAGGCGGGCCTCATAATCACGCCATTGCCGCAATAGCTACTACTATGAAACAGGTGAAAACACAAGAATTCCTTGATTATCAGAAACAAATAGTGGCTAATGCGAAGAAATTGTGCGCCGGTTTACAAGAGCGCGGTTACAAAATCAGCACCAATGGCACGGATGTCCACATGCTGTTGGTAGACCTACGATCTGCACGCATCACCGGTTCAAAGGCAGAAAAAATATTGGAAGAGATTTCCATTGCTTGCAATAAAAATACTGTTCCTGGTGACAAAAGTGCATTGAATCCTAGTGGCATTCGTTTAGGAACACCTGCCCTGACTACTCGTGGCTTAGTCGAGAAGGATATCGACAAAGTTGTGGACTTCATAGACAGAGGTATTACAAATATTTCAACCTCACAAAAATTCATTATTCGCTGATCTTAATCACTCACAATATTATGATTCATATTTTCATTTGTTACTTGGCAATTTCTTCAAACATTTCTGAGCGCTAGCGAATTAAATATCACAATTTGAATAAATATAACCACATAAATGAGATTATAATAAATTTTTAACATTATTTCTTAGGATTAAAACTTTCCAAGGAAGTGAGTGATATTTCTGGACCGAAACTAGTTGATTTCAAGAAAGTATTAAGTACCGACGAAAACATTAAAATGAAGATTGCAGATCTGAGAAAAGAAGTAGAAACCTTTTCGAAACAGTTTTCAATCCCTGGTCATGAAACATATTAACACAACGGTACTTTGTTTAATGTAAATTTTTAAATATGTTATAATATTCTCATTATGCTATTAATTATATATATTTTTTACTTTTTTAATTTTTAAAAATTATTGTTACATTTCTTTTACATTTCTCTTTGTATAATTTATATTATAATTAAAATATGAATCTGCACATTTGCGAATATGTTATGTGATAATATTAAAATCAAATGGAAACATATTAATTTTATAAAAATAAAATATTGTGGTCTTTTCACTTATATTGAATTATTTAAAATATTTCCATGATAGAAACTCCATGAACAAATATTTTTTGATAAGATAAAAATAAATAAAATATACATATGTTACATATATGCTATTTTCGTTCTTAAATTCAGCATTATGTTTTATTTGTACATAAAATTAAATATAAAATAAATCTTAAAATCTTTTCTAATTTGTTTTAACTTTTTTTATTTATGTTATAAATTACGCAATGTCGCTTGTAACTGTTTATAATTATTGATATCTTTATATCAATTTTTATAATATAAATTATTTCTTTATAATATAAATTGTAATGATATTTATTACATCTGCGGAAATTTTAACGCATTTGTTATTCCTTGCAAATTATTTGGATGAAGAGAATGCCATGAATTTAAATTGAGATAAAAAATATCACTTTATATGATTTAGAAATAAGTGTTGCAAATATCGATAACCCATTACATTGTGAAATAGTAAGTATTTTTAATTAGGAACATGATGACAGGCATATTTGCACATTTCACTCAACTCACATACAACTATTAAATTAAATATTTTCTATTGGATATACAAAGAAGGAATTGTTATTAGAGTAATATCGAGCAATCATTATTTGTTATTATATTTTTTCAAGTGATTTATACAAATATAATATCTAAATTAATTCTTTAAAGAGACTAATCTTGCATTCCCACACATAAACTGACTGATGTGATATTCACAAAGAGTATCCCACCTTTAAAATATACATTTCAAAATATTAATATCAGATGTACAATTATCATTAATAATATACTAATTTTCATCCAAATAGTTATATAATTTTTACATAAAATTAATTCAAAAGTATAGAAATGTTCCATTATCCTATAATACAGATATCAATAATAATGATTTAGTTATCACATACTGATATAATTTTGCTTTAAATAATTCTGATAATGTAATAGATAATATAAAACATAATAAAGGATACTCAACGCATTTATATGTGTTTCTAGAGAGATATATTTATTACAAAGCTAAATTTATTAATTAAATGTTGTCTATGCTTTCATTTTCTTTTTAATGCACAGCAATATTACATTACCTTTATTAATTAATGCTGCGAAGATTTTTATCATACAATGATGGTTGTTTTATTTTAATTAAATATATGCATTTGGTTTTCTTTAGAGTGTTTCAAACGATTATCCATATCAGTATAGAATCCAATAAATAAATATATCGCTTGTTGCTTCGAGCGTTATTTTCTTTCTCGATGTTTCAGCAACAAGCAATCTTGTTAAGCATTCTTTGTTTCGGAAGTTACAATTATGTCACATTTATTTGTCCACACGCGTTTTAGTTTATATAAAATAAATCTTCGATCCAGCAGTTACACGCAAGTATATATGTGATTATATATATGGTATACAGGTTGTAGCTAATGGCGAGGATTTTGATCAAAGTCTAAGTATAATTGCTGAATTCATAACAGCACAGAATAAGAATTTGCGAATATCGCAAAATTCACTTTTTTTCACCGCCGACTTTATGATTCATGAAATATATTAAATAAAATAATGGAATACTTTTTCGAATTTTTACACACAAACAGTTATTTATTACTTGAAATATTACTCAATTTGTAAACTTTTATTATGTAAAAGTATGCATCTCATTATTGCACGTACATAATAAATCCTATTTGATTAAAAAAGATATATATATATATATATATATATATATATATATATATATAGTAAGTAATATTAGAGATATGTATAAAATAATCTGAATTTCATCTGAATCTTACTATTGTGAATTCACATAACTTACAACTTTGATAAATTCTCATAAATCGTCCCCACATACTTCCATCTTTCAAGGATTTACGTACATCAGAATTACTGTATATTCTGTATTCATATACTGTATTCAGATAACAGTGATTCCTCTAGCTTCTTTCTTTGCAAACATAACATTCACAACTTGAAATTTCATTAACACAGGTGCGGTCGGTGAAAGTATTTGGGTCGAGGAATAATATATAAAAGTTCGGTATTCAGCATCACACTGCACAGTGTTGCCTCACCTTTAATCAATCAAGTTCTTGCGCGGCATGCGACGTTGAGGCTGTATTTCGTTGCTCGTCGTCCGAATCGTCATCCTCCAGGCCATTAAAGAAAGATTGCAATAACGAACCGAATAATCCTTGATTACGTGGACGCGGAGGTGGAATATTGAAAAAAAGTTGGCCTATTTTATCTAAGTACTGTCGATAACATGGATCTCTATTTAGAGATATCTGGTATTGTTCACAAAGAATTGTGAACACCGCTAGTTTACCACTGTAAAATATTAAATAAAAAAAAAATGGAAATTATATTTATATGAATATGAAGAAATGTAATCTCTCTTACATGTTAAAGTATGACGTACCTGTCAATGGTTTTAAGTAGGAAAAACAAAAAATTTAATAAAGGAAGAAGATATGGCGGGCCACTACTTATTTTTGGATGTCTTGAAGTATAAGAATTGAAGGCCTCTTGCGCCGTTGCTTTGTTTTGTAAACAAAGATACCTAAAACACAATTCACAATTATTTGTTAATATTTTACATAAGTTTTCTTAAATTTGTGAATTGTCTCGATAGAGATATGCCATCCCTAAATCTTTCATCTTATTATACTTGTCTGGTTGATTATGTTATTCTTTTTCAAGATTTCTAATGTTAAAATTGATATAAAGTTAATAAACTTACTGTAAAACTGCTTGAGCTATGAAGAGATCTATTTCATTCATATATCCCCGTTGTTCGTGAAGTTCAACTAGCATCGCGGCACAACCAGAACCATCTCTACTATGTATAAAATGCTGTCTCGCCATTATGTAATTCTTTTCTGAAAAAATAGATTCATTATGTATAATATATACAAAACAGAGTGTATAATAAAATGACTCATAAAATTACCTCTCCAAAAGACTTGAGCTATCTTCTGGTGCAGATCTGGATGACCAGTTTTATAATCTGTACCCTTTACACTCCATTTAAGTGCAGACTGCACAAACACTTCCCTTTCTGGAGATGTAGGGCTCATCAAACTAAACAAGCTCGTGATCTTCTCGAAAAAACCTTGTGCAGGTACCGTTCCAGATTGTGTTAAAACATTAACAAATAAAATTCCTAAGTCGGCTCCACTTGCATGCTAGAAATAAATGTACAAATAGCAATTAAATTAATGCGACTCACAAAATTAAACTTTGCTTCCTTCACAATGATCACAAGAATCCGTCCTTCGATTAATCACAATTTATTCGAAGATATGTGAATCTGAGATAAGGCGTTCAACCTCGTCGACAGAATTGCTCGAGGGAAAAGTGTGAAAATGTCTTGAACATTAATCAAGTTGACGCGAACGACGTAGCGCGTACCTGTTCGTGCTGTAACAGAAGCATCGACCCATTGTAGAGCAATTCGAGCAACTCCGAGTATTTCCTTTGGCTGAGGTATCTGTAAGCGTAGGAGGTTAGAGACGGGCAGGGTCTTTAGGGCGCGGTGGCGCGCCTCGACGGCGCGAGGCGGTCGGGTCGGCCGGCTCTCACCTGAAATACAAAGTTCGATACATCTGATGGGCCTCATAATAATTCTCCGAGTTTATCGACGCCTCCAATTTCGCGAGGACTCGCTGAACACCGTGACTGTACCGCGAGGCCATGTTTACACCATTTGGGAACCTCGCGCACGCACACGCGCGCAGTTGGCATCAGTGCGCCATCCGGTTTTCCCCGATTTCCGCACACGTGCGATTTAAATTCGGATGCGGATTTCGCGGAGCACACGGGTACACGATCGCCGATGCGCGCGTTGTATCGGTCAGGAATCGAAGCCTATTTAACACGATGCCGAGGCTGAGCGTGACGTCGTTCGATTCACGCCGAAGATCGACTGCTGCCGTTCATCGTTGTATTTTAATTTTCTACGCGATTAGTCGCGTCGCGTAATCGAACTATTTCGGTACCTGCAATGTTTTATCGATTGCGTCCGTGTCACAGATACGCCGTATTGTTCAGCTCTGCCCTCGAATTTACAATGACGAGTTAAATACTGCGCGCTAATCAAGCTAATTAACATGGGCTTAAAATCCATATTCATACTTCATTTTGTCAATGAATGTATTCATTTCATTTATTTCCAAGATTCTACAGTACATGTTACGTAAAGTATATATTAAGTGCGCATTTAAAGGCGTATTTTTAGGTAAAAATGAAGTAATATTTCTATTATTAGTAAAAATCGATTCATTCATATATTTTCGTTGTATAATGTATAGAGATTAGATTAGGAAATAAAATTGTTTGCTTTAAATATTAATTAATTTAATTTTAATTTAATTTTTTTTATATTATCATCGATTAAGTTAACTATATTTCGATTAATTCTATATTCACTTCCAACTAAAAGATTAATTTTAATTTACTTTATCTTTTTCTGATTCTAAAAATTCGAAAAGATGTATAGTAGTTAAATAATTTAAAATTAATGCACATAAGAGAGATTTATCCATAAGAAAGATTTATTTATTTATTACTCCATTTGATTTATTATATAAAATATGTATTTTCTTAATATCGATGAATTATTGATTTTTTATTGTTGAATATGCGAGAAAAATATTAGGTTAGACACAATAAATTACAAATTTTATTCCATGTAATTCTACAAAATAAATCATCGATTAAACAAATCGGAGTTTAGTCAAAGTCGAAATACAAATAGTAAAATAAATAGCAATTTCTTTTAACTAGATATAATCCATCCTAAAAATATTCAAGCAATCTCAGTTCTTGAAAAAAAACATCAAACGATAAAAATAGAAAAGTACTCGCATGCGATTGACATAAACCTTCTTATCAGCAGATTACAATATTGCGTTACAAGTTGCGTCATTTTGATTAAAGAAAATATTTAAAGGAAAGATCGGGATATATCGGGAGAAAACAATTTCCTGAATGGTCCCCCTCATAGATAAGACAGTGGGAGGGGGGAGGGGATGAGTGCGTATTTCTCAAAGCGTTAACGCGCGATAACATTTCATATCGCTCGGCCTTGCGTCATACGGCGGGGACGTTCACTCACACGGTTCAACGATCGCGCGCGATTTTCGGAGTCCACCGCCACACTGCACCGCGCCGCGCCGCGCCGCGTCGCGCCGCGCCACGATCGGCGCAATCCGTCGCGCGCCATGTCGTGCCGCGGGGCGGCGTAATATATCAATTGCAAAAAGTAATATTGATAAATGCGCAAAGTGGCGTCGCATAAGCGCGGCCGGGCCGCCCGTGTGTACACGCGGTACATGCGCGCGCGCACACAACGTCGTCATGTAACTACACGCATCGTAATACAGACGCACACATGCACGCGCGCACATACACATATGCATGTAAACACACACACACACACACACACACACACACACACACGCATGCCGCCGCGGCCGAAAAGCGCGTAGGACACGGTGCGCCCCTAGCGGCGGACCGTGTAAGTGACCCTCGCGGAAATAATTATCGCGATTTATGTTATTTGCAAATGTGATCCGGGGGTTTAATTAATTAGGCGATGCCGAGTAGCGGCGACTGACAACGACGGACGGGCTCCTGGGGCCATCCGGCCACGTCGTGAGTGGAGTGGTGCAGCGGCGGCCGCGGCACGGGGTGAGTGGCCACGTCCGAGAGAGTAATGATGTACGTTCCACCTTACACGGCGGGTTTCCCCTGCGCGTGTCGGAAAGGGGGGCGGTGGCTCGCTCGCTCGTTCGCACGCGGCCGGCCACTTTTTTATCGGTTCTGCCTGCCGGCCCGCTCGGCGATAACAATGGCCGTGCCCCGCGAGCGGCGAGCGCGCTCGGCGTCGCTCGGAACGCCTCGACGACGTGCGAGCGCCGTACTCGCGATGGTGCCGACGGAGACGCGGCGTGTCCGAGCGCCGTCCGCTCTCCCGTCGCCGAACATCGGAGTCGCACGCTCGATAATCCCGCCGCAGCGCGGGATGCACGATTCCGCGATGAGGCGTGCTTGGCGCCCGGCGGAAATTTGCGTGTCCTCGATTATCACCCTCCTTGACAGTCTCGTCCGGTGGCCGCCCGACGGCGACTTTTCCCGGGACCGCGGAGCCGCGCGCGATAACGGTTGAAGGAAATTATCGTGGCGTGTATCGATCGCTGGCGTTATTGATGTGTATCTGTGTCTCTCTTTGTTTCTCTTTCTAGTCCAGTTGTAAATAATCCTTTTATTTGTGGTAAATTATGCTATGATTTTCTACCAGATAGATTCTTTTGCGTGTGCATATTTTATTAATGATTTTGATTTATATCGAGAGATTTATGTATACGATTACATACAGAATGGACCTGGCGGAAACTATGAAGAACATTGTTGCTAAAGGTATGCAAACTGAAATGGGTCCACCGGGTGGAGGGTCAGGCTACTCTGCGACACCGAGCAGTGCTGGTTATGTCACGGAGAAGATGTACCTGCTGTTGCAAGCATACTTGCAAAACAAAGGGTGGAATCCTAGTATCGAGTTACTACAATGCTTCTCGGAATTCAAGGATGCCTCCATGATGCCAAGCGCTGCTTATTTACAGTAAATTATTTTTACTAGAACTAAATACAACTTGTGTTTTATATTTATACAAGATATTCACTATGTTATATTCGTTAGGATGATAGCATCTAGAGTTGCATTGGATTCACAAGGAAGACTCGTTCTTAGAGAGAATGGCAAGATCATATTACCCTATGAACATTTTGCCAATGCGGTGATGTTGAAACATATGAATGGACCGCATGGTCTGCACTTGGGTTTGGAGGGTACAGTTAGAGCAGTCATGGAGTCCTATACCATCGGAAGAGAATGTTTTGGAATGGAGAAGGAATTTATCATAGAAGTCGTGCAAAATTGCCCTAATCCCGCTTGTCGGTATTATAAAAACCAATTGGAACTCAGTCAGAAGATGGGTCACATGGCACCGACTTATATTCAGGAAAATGAAGCGACTGCATCTCTTTTGCGTTCTGGGTTTCCACATAGTACAGATTTCCAGACAGTGAGCATAATTTTTATGTGATATTGTGTATTGCCTGAGTAATAATTTTTATATTTGTTATTTATTTTTCTGCAGAGCCTAAGCAGTGCTAATCCAAATACACATATGGGAGGAGGATCCGCAGCGGATTTACCAGAGATGAGAGGTGCTGGCAATCAGATGAATCTTCAACGTCCTCCAAGCCGTCCGTCATTAAATATTCCACATCGGCCTGTATCGCAAGAGAAAAAAGTGCCATCGGGCAAGCAGCATTACGAATCTCTAATACCTAATATACCAATCTCCGATCACAAGTTGACGGATTTTTTACGCACCAATCTGGATAACTTGGACAATCTCACTTCTCTCGGTTTAGGAAACTTACAAGGATTAGGAAACGCCAATAAGGACTTGCTGGCGCTACACAACGGTGCATGGCCTCTAGAGGGAGAAAAGGGATCCCGGTCATCATCTACGAATTCGGAAGGTGAGAACTTTCAACAGCAATAGAAGAATGCATACTTTGAAGCATATTTATTAAACATTAAAATTAACGTATGAATTTACCATTTCAGGTGGTCAAGAAAAAATAGTGCGTGCTTTCGCAGAAGTGATGAAAAACATGGCAAGGATGAAAGCTTGCGTACGACCGGCAATGTGCAAGCCGTACGGCAAACAATCCGAGGCTTTACAAAAAAGTGATTTTCAATTTTAATGTTTTTCCCTTTTATTTTAGATGTATTTATTGTATCGTAACATTTTATATAAAAAAATTTTCTTTTTCAAAGTAATTTATAAAAACTTTCATATTGCTTATTTCCAATTGCAGCACTGGTCGATACAATTCAGCTTGTACAATCGTTGAGAAGCTTCTTGCCACCTCCACATATACCAGTCTCGAGCTGGAAAAACGAAGATAAACACCGATTAGATCACAGCAGTACCCCTTATCTGTCAACGTTGTGAGTAATTTTACACGACGACTATTATCTTTAATCCTATTTATATTTTTATTACTATATACATTTTTTGTTTTTTTAACAGAAAGGCTGGCGCGATAGAAGAATTGTGCGAGCAGCGTAAATTAGACTAACCGTCATCTTCGCTTTACTTGCGACAGACCAAGTCTCGTCTTTTTGCGCTCTATGATGTTCTAGTCACAAGATGTTTATTGATTAGCTGGGTGTTTCGTATCTAAACAACCCGATGGATTGCTCAAAAAAAGTTGTTGGCGTTTAGGACTTCAAATACTAAGAGACAAAATGAGTCATGCGTGGACTGTGATAAACGTGGGTAGCGAGAAAAAAAGATTTATATGTAGGGCTAAACTCACACCGTGTCATCTTAGAGATTCTTACTAGCTTTATTTCATCGCTGTAATCTAATTTCATATTGTAATTGTTCTTGATCTGCCTATGGTGCTTATTCGGTGAATAATCTCTCGATCTAATCTCACGTTACCGAAAAAGATAGTGATTTAATTATTAGATTAATAAATTATGTAGGTAATATTCGACGTAAATAGCATTTATTGTATTGATTTAACAATTTGCCATTTGTGTTCTGAACTAAATTACCTGATTAATAATATATCATAAGTTTCTTTTTTATATGTATAAAACTTTAGATAGACATATAAAACTTAGGTTGAAATAAAAAACAAAGATTAAATTAAATTGGCTTAATAAAAACTTATCAAACGTTATTTCAACATTAGATGCATAATGAAAAGATTGACAATTTTCTTGATTAATGAGCATTATTTGTTTTACATGTTTTTAACTGTGATAGATATAGCATACTGTATAAGTGTTTTGAATTGATATAACC